CTATTCCTCTTCTGAAAATTGAATGAAATTCACATAATACAATATGTTGTTACTTCTGATTTGCAAAAAGTTTGAGTATTAGGATCATGTTTCTGTTTATAGAAAAAGTAACATATTTTTAAAAAATTCATTATCACCTATAAAAGAAAAGCAAATATGACAATTCTGTAATATATTAGACATTTGTCAAAGTATGGTGAGTGTTAGTTAATAATGGAAGTTCAGTTATCAGATTCTTAATCTCTTTCACTACTATTTGTCCATTTGCCCAAGCAGTCATTTATTCTACTTCCTGTCCCTTTAATTGCATATTAATAGTCTTGGCTCATGTGATTATACAGTAATTATTTTCAGCAGTTAAAGATGTGATTTTTTTTTTGCCTTTGCTTTTCATTACACAGATAATAAATACATCAAATGATAATTCCCTAGATCAAGGAAAAACAGGACTGTAAAGAGGGGATCAGTTTGGTAAGAATATCTTAGTTCAGTTGGAATGTTTTTCCCACTGACGTGACTGTAATACAACCTATTTTCTTTACTGAAAAGTAACAAGACACCTGTTTGGATTTTGAATTGTGTGTTACAATTACGTTTTCTAGTTTATAAATGTTGGGTTTCTGTTTCAGAACTCACACAGACTTTTCATAGCAATAATTGTGCTTTTTCCTTGGGCGTTGAAGATGATGTTTGAGTTTGACATAGTAGAGGCAATGTATATAACTTCTTAAAAACATGTTTAAATATTTTTCCATTTCTTAGGAAGTGTACAGTTTTTATTCTGAGTGTTACTCCATTGAATCAAATGGTGTATATTTTTTAAAAAAATTTCTTAATTTTCTCTAACAGTTAAAACATTCAGATAAATTAGACTAATCTCAAAATAACAGCACTCGTTCATATCAACATAAAACACCTTCATAAAAACCAAGGGGTCTGATCCAGAAGTCCAAGAGAACATTTATATAGATTTTAAAGGATAAGGCTTAAAATGTTTGTCTTTACTGTATGAAGCTATTGGACAGGTGTTTGACTTTCCAACAGTTTAGAAAACTGAAAAGGAAACTTGGTAATTGGCATCAGAACAAGTAGTTTAAAAGCATTAATTTTAATTACTTAATCTGGTTATGAAGTTAACCCAGGAATGGAGATCTTGTAACCAGTAACATCACCTGCAGCCTACATCTGCTTGCATTTCACAGAGATTTTTTTTTTTTTGTGCAAATGAGAAGACTGAGATCATTCTTCAGGAGAATAATCTTGCTTTTATCCTTAGCTTTATTTCAAGCTTTTTATATGTGAAACTATAAAATCTGGGCATCGGTCTACAGTGTCTAGGTATTGATTCTTAGGATAAATAATTATTCATAACTTTATTGTAGGCACAATTTACCTTAACAGTTTTGCACTTGAGACTTTCTTTTATTGTTTTATTCCCTATTGACAACAAGTTGTTAGCAGATATTATAGCTGTGTATTATGTGCTAGTATTTTGGGGAGCAGTGTTAACCCATGAGACTGTGTATTTATTAAAACCCCCCACATTTAAAAATAAACCTAAAAGATAAGCTGGTAATACTTTAGAAATGGCCAGTTACGATTTTATGAAGGTAGAAACACATTTATTTTGTAAAGTATGATACTGTTCTTGGCAAGGTATACTTGAAAAGCATGTTTATGTACATTCATTAACTTAATTGCATGACCTTAGTGTGCTGATCATCCTGTTTTAACTTTAACCCTGACTAGAAAGCAAATGCAGAATCAAGACCATGATCTGTTACGTAGAAAACGCATTCTGGTTTTTGCCTTTTTTAAAGCCTCCTTCTTGCTGCTTTTTTTTTTTGTTTTTAGTTCAGTGTTAAGTAAGTGTTTCTACACTTGCTAATTCTTACTGATTCTGTCACTGTACACCCTGTTTACCTTTTCCTCCTTTGGTGTTGCACTGAGTGGAGCTGAAGTGCAGAAACTTTGGTAGTCTACAAACGTGGTGTAAAACTACTGGACACATCAAGTCATAAACCCCAGTGTTATATTTGTTGTATACCATTATCTCTTAGCAGCTAGACTGATCTCATGATCTGGTAAATGCTGGAGAATGGCAGCTGGTTCCTGGCACCAGGCATGTTGTTACTTAGTGCAGCTCAAATTTAGAGGCAGCATGAAGGTCATACGAAAAAAATATTATCTCATATCACAAAATCCCCTCAGTGGAATTTGGGTGTGCCAGTGAAGTTGGCCTGTGAGCCTTTAGAATTGGGAAGAGAACATGCATGGCATTAAAACAGTGCCTATAAAACCAGTCCATAGATGTGGTCTCTATTTGCTTGTTGCAAGTAGAAGGAACAAAATCATTGAAGTTCTAGGAAGATTGATAGCTGTAGAGATGAGTAGCTACACTACACCTAGTACAAAAAGTGCTGACTCTTATTTTGTATATGAAACCAAAAGTCGTCCAATTATTACCAAACTTACATGAATATTAGCAATATTATGAGGGTCCTTGGGAATCTGTTTTTTTTGAGAAATGCTATTAAATTATACTAATAAGAAGTAGGCATCAGAGAACTTCATTAAAAAACAAACAAAAAACCCACAAACAAACAGAGAAAGATGACTTTGAATCTCTGATCTGTACTTTCCCATTGTTCTTTCATTCCAAGAAAGTGAAAAGGAACTCTATCTCTTCACAAGTACCAGGGAGCCTGTGTGTTGGTTTGCTAGGTTTTGTTAAAGTGAAGGAGCACGTTTTTAAACTATGCAATTGGTATTGGAATTGGAATGGTATTGTTTAGGTAATGTGGTGATATGTAATGCAGTTTATTGCCTTTCATCAGGCAGCTGTGTTAAAATGTTTTATTTACTCTGAGATGACATTTTAAAAATCAGTGTTCAAATAGCTCAACTGAGGAAGGCTTAAAAACAGAAAGTAAGAATATGAATTTTATTTAAGATTGAAAGAATTCTCTATTTCAAAGAAGTGTTAGCTTTAAAATATCTTTGAGAGAGAGATACTAGATTCTAATTCCATAAAGCTAATGATATACTTTAATATTTGTGTGTGACAAGTTCAGCTTGGGAGATTATGAAAGCATTAACATTTTTCTATTTCAGTATTATTAAGCTACACTGTTTATGAGCTGTTTAAAAAGTAATGTATGGCATAATAGAGGAAAATTTGACACGCCCTCTTTTTAATTTTTGTTTGAATCAAGGTACTGGTCAAAATAAAATTTAAAAGGTTCAAATATACTTACCTTACAGATTCTGTGATTATTTTTTTAACTTTTTAAAAGACTTTTTATAGATAAGGTATTGTGAAACAGGTATTCTGTTCAAATTAAAATGTGAAATTATTTTCTTTTGTTTTCTTTGGGTGATTTTTAAGCATCAGAAGTAGCATTCAGTTTTTAGGCAGGTTTCTGAGGGAAAGATGGTTCCTTAGATCATGTTTATGTGATCAGACTTGTTGCTGACAATTGTATTTATGTCTGTAAACTCACCTGTGCAGGGGTAACTGCCATTCCAAAGCTTGGACAAAAAACCCACAAAAGATACTACTTTATATCTGTTCTGTTTGGCCTCTTGTATAAGCACATCTTGCAGTATTGGGTAATATTAGAACAATAGCTGCATGTGAATCTTCAAATAATATTTTTGCGATGTTGTATGATCTACCAGCCACAGAAGGGATGGCTGTAAGCTTAGTAGGATTGAAGAGATCTGATTTTAATTTCAGCATCTCTTATAGGTGGTCTTTTAATGACTTGAGAGAAATCAGTGAGCTAGTTCTGTACTTGAATAGGGGCAATGTTTTTATTTTTTGCCTGTTCAGCCTATGAAATCAGTAGAACAGGAACTGCCTCTTCTGTTTTGGTACATCTTCAGCACAGTGATCTTTGAGTACCCTTCGTGTGATGCTGTAATACAAATAGCAGATTTCTGTGGATGTCACAATAAACTGCTTTGATTTTTACAGCTAAAACACTGCAACAAATTTTGCGTTGAATATCTTGATCTGGTACATTCAGTAATACTGATGGAAGCTTCAGTCTTAATTTGCTGTATGATCAGTAATGACATTCTTGCTTTGGAGTATAATTCTAAAAACATTATAAAAAGGGTAGGATAAGATTAAAATCTAATTTAAATTGAAATTTAAACATGGATTTTTGTGCTGCTTTGCTGTCCCTCAAACATGCAGCACCATCTCCTTTTACTTGAGGCCAGCTTTTATAATTTCCCTTTAATTTCAGCTCCTCTCCCATTCCTCCAACCTAAGCTTGCATTTCATCTTTCCTGTACCTTGGCTTCTGGATTTGTTAGTATTGTTTGTTTTGCTCCCAGACCAGCCCATTTTATAATTTCAGAGTTTGAAATCAAGAAATTTGGCCTTGTGAAACTGTAAGAAGGCTGAAATCCAACAAAAGCAGTTATTGGTGACAAGTGATAGCAAGAATCTTAAATTTATTTTTTTCAATTGAAACAAACCTCACATTCTATCAAAACGCATTATAAAACATGAAGTCTGAGATGTGGTTGTTTTGAGGTAATTCCTCTTGGATCATTTGGAAAGATCACCTTTGTCTCCAGATCTTGCCTTTGGAGTTTAATGTGATTTGTCCTGGGATTTAAAATTTATATTGCCAGTCTTGAGCTATACTTCTTAGCTGTGTTTCCAAGGAGTTATCAAGGTGTATATTTATGTTTTATATATATTTGGTTTATATTCATTTTTAGTCGATATGAACTTTCATTAATAAAAAAATTAAAAGATGGAATACAGAAATTAAGTGTGACTGTTAATTTAGCAATGAATACTAGTATCTGTTGTTTTAATGCTGTATACCGATTCATTTAAATTTTAAACTTGCTAAAAAATCTAAATGAATGTTTTACTGGAATGCAACAGTTGTATTAGCTGATCATTTCTGCTAATTATATTGAATTGCAAAAAAATTTTTTTTAGTTTTACAGGTTTTCTTTATTCTTCTGCATAGGGTCAGCTTTACCTGCTGGTGACAGACCAGGGCTTTCTGACAGAAGAGAAGGTTGTCTGGGAAAGCTTGCACAATGTGGATGGCGATGGAAATTTTTGTGATTCTGAATTCCACCTACGGCCTCCATCAGACCCTGAAACTGTCTACAGAGGGCAGCAGGATCAAATAGATCAAGTACTGGCTTTTTGCCTTTCTATTGTATTTTTGTTTTGCTTGTGACTATATATAACAATTAGTACTTATTTTTAGTCATCTCTATGTATACTTACACCGATGTGTATGTATGTGTACACATGCATATATAGGACTATAAAAAAATTGTTTAGGTACTTAGATTGGGGTTCTCAAAAGTGCTACTTTAAAGTATTAGCATGACTTCAAGGAAGGAAGAGTAAGACCAACCATGAATAGTTTGGAAAAAATTATCTTAATCTCTCAGAATCCAGTTCTGCAAAGAACTTATTCAGGTGAAATGTCACATGTGCCTTGTATATGGAAACAGAAACAGCACTGTGAAACTTCTCCCGTGTAACAATTCATTTCAGCTCATTAATATTGTCATAACTGAATCACAGAATCACAGAATTGATTTGGTTGGAAGAGACCTCTGGGATCACTGAGTCCAACCTTTGCCCTAACACTGCCATGTCAACTAGACCATGCCACGTCCAGTCTTGTCTTAAACATCTCCAGGGATGGCGACTCC